CTTGGGATTTCCAGAAACATTGGCGGCTTGAGCAATAACGTGGGGGACAAGATCGTGCAACACGTCCATCCTTTCATGGTAGTGGAATGAAACGTTGATTGTACCATGTACTATTTGTACCATATTAATGTTATCTTCTTTCCTTCTTCACTTCAGAGGCTAATGCGATCATGAGTTTAGAAGCGAGAACATAACACAAGGTCATCAGAACTTCAAGTCTTCAAAGTCTTCAGAACTGCGTCTTGAGAGTCTTCAGCACTTGGTCGTGAGAACCTTTTCTTAGAACCTTGGGTCTTTAGAACTTAAAGTCTTTAGAGTCTTTAGAACTTCTGTCTTCAGAGTCTTTAGCACTTGGACTTTAGAACCATTTTCTTAGAACCATGGGTCTTTAGAACTTCAAGTCTTTCGAGTCTTTAGAACTTCGTCTATCAGAATCTTCAGCACTTGGTCTTTAGAATCCTTTGTCTTTAGAAACATTAGTCTTCAGCATTTGGACTTAAGTAGAAACTTCTGTCTTCACATCTTCTGACTTGTTTCTTTATAACACGTTGTCTTCAGAAACATGAGTCTTTAGCATCTGGACTTCAGTAGAAACTATTGTCTTATGATCTTTTGACTGGTTTTTTTAGACTTCATATCAGAGCATACACTTCAGAGTCTTCTGGAGTATCTTGCTATTGTTCATCAAAACTTGTGTAGCACAGAAGCAGAATTAATTATTTTCTAATGTCTTGGCCACGTCATCCATCAGAAGCAGAATCTGTTTGTTAAATACTAAAAAATAATAAACATTAGAGTATCAAAATTGTTCATACAAACATACTCATTTTTTATCATAAAAAATGAAAGATAATATTGCAGAACCAAATATTATTCTTACAGTGTGATGTTGTCGGTCATCTGCTTTGTATTCCACTTAATGTCTTCAGACAACTTCTGGTACAAATACACCAAACAAGTTACCCCATAGTTCCACTCAGTGATCCGCTGAAAATCGTCAAAGAACCACAAGTAAATGATATCAGTGTAAGTGGAACTAGTATCCATAAAAATCTGTGTGCCAACTAGATACAAAAGATATGCTCTCATAGCACATGCTATGTGCTGAGCTACTTAGTGATCGTCACCAGCAGCCTGCTGTGCACGCCCTAGCTCAACTGTGAACACCTTCTACAAGTAACTAAATCTGACATGACACTCACGGGTTTTGTCGATCTCAACCATAACACCCTCTGGAGTAACTCCTAAGTACTCCACCAACATATTCAACGCCTCCTCTCTGGTGCACCTCTCATGATCTGAAAACCTCCCTCTAATCGAAAGATGCAATAAACACGCGACACTGTTCAGTGTGATTGTCATCTCACCATGTGGTAGATGGAACGACAATGTCTTGTGATGCCATCTCTCAACAAAAGCGTTAATCATACCATGATTAATGGTAGAATATCTATATAAGACCAAATCACGCAGCCCAGTGACGTGCAACAGCTCCTGGAACCATGGCTCGACGGGTGGTATCAGGCGTCTGTTCTTCCTTGCATGATTAATTATCTTGAGTGGATCGCGGTTCTGCATGCATAGATAAACACCCAAGACTTAAATGAACATAATACTTAGCAAAAAAATAAACATAGTACGTAACAATTATTAAATGAAATATTTACCTATCCATCCCATAAGTATCTGTCAACATGGTCTGGATACAACGACACTAATGATAAACCAGAAGGTCCTCCTCCAAAACCCAGAGGCTCCTCTGGTGCCGCCTCTGATGCAGGATGTGGATGGGCCGCCGGTGCATACTGGGTGGCCTCTAGTGTCTGCAGGGTAGGAACCAGTGTAGGCTGCGTGGGAGCAGGTGTCGGCTAGGAAAAAGAAGTCTCTCCTGTCTCAAAGACCATAGGGCGTCCGTGGGAGGAAGGAGGTGGAGAGGTATGGACTGAATGTGGTGTAGTCTGTGGGTGGGAACCAGATGTCTCTCCTGGTTCGGATACATGTGGTGAGGATGTACGTTTATAGGAGGACAGAGGCGGAGATGGATGAACAGGAGATTATCGTCTACTGGTCGACGAAGTGGAAGTAGAAACACCATCGGCAATGGACGCACCCGACACATCATGTCTAGGAGCCTGAAAAGCCTGGATCTTTTCCCTATGCACGGAAGCATGCTGTGAAAGTCTCTCGTATCACAATCTGGACGATCTCTCAGCCATAATACCCATAGAATAAATGAAACAAGTATTAAACAATATCACCCTTGTACAAAAAATAGGGGAAATCTGTCTGATGCATAACCGAAAGTATACTTCCGGTTTTAGTCAAGAAATAAATCAGAAATACACTTCTAACACGACCTGCAACTTAATAGGTTCGTCAATGGCGAAGCTGACCCCCAATGGGGACAAAAAAAAATAGTCATTGATCATCAAAAAGACATGGCTAACACTTCCTATTAACTTCAAATATGGCAAGAACTAAAAAAACTACATTTTACTGTCCTAAAACACAATACTCCCTCCGGTCTCATTTATAAGAAAAATTAACTTTTTATATACATTGAATAAGTAATGTATTTGGACAATATATTGTCCAAATACATTACTTATTTAATGTATCTAAAAAGTTAATTTTTTCTTATAAATGAGACCGGAGGGAGTATGTATGTAAAATAAAATAAAAAACTCAATAATGCTCAAAAACAACTTATAATTGATGATTCTCCTTGGTTGATTCCGATTATGCCTGATAATTTCCTTATGTGTTGCGATAAATTGATGGGTTTTGAAACAATGAGTATTTTGAAACAATAGGGTTTTGGGAGATTTTGTGTTTTGTATTTGTATTTGCAGCAAACGAGGAAGGGGAAGAGGTAGCGCGGGTATATGTCAAAATACAAATCGGAAATACGCTTACGATTTGGCACGGTGTTGCATTTTCAATTCGTATCAACATGATATGGTGTAGCTTCTTACAGTGTAACTATTTAGTTCATTTAAAGTGTAACCAGAAATACAACATTGGTTTGAAAACCGTAAGTATACTTCCGATTTATATGCTTTTTTCATATAATATGATGCGCACCGGAAATACATTTTCGATTTCTAGAGACATATTTGAAAATTCACGCGGGTGCCTAAGAAACACTTAGGATACATTAAAAAAATTCTCAAATTGTATATCTCTTATAGCTTAATGATCCTTGATCCTCTCCATTAAAGGTGTTCAAAAATATGATTATTATAAAAAAAACTGAACCATTTAAATGATTATTAAACTGAACCATTTAATTTAAACAATTCAAATTCAGTTTAAAATTGATTCAAACCAATTTTCTTTTATAAACTGATTTGATTATATAAATTAATTTTTCATTAAAAAATGTATTTTTTCAGAAAATAAAAAAAATTGAAAATATTTTTTTTTCCGAAAATAAAATTCTTTTATGAAAATAAACAAAATTTTTGAAATTAAATATTTTTTTCTGAAAATAAAAAAATAATTTTTTCAGGAATTATTTTTTATGTTCCAAGAATTTTTAAAAGAAAATTTTGAAAGTAATTTTTTTGTCCATAATAAATAAAAAATTGAAAAAAAAAATTAAAATCAATATTCTAAAAATCACTTTACGAACTGAAACATGAGGAAAGAACTTGAAGTACAACCTGCACGTTATAATTAACAAAAAAAAAAATTCAACGTGATAAAAAAAAGTATTAATAGCAGTAGTAACTATTTTTACATACTAGTTGAAGAGCATCATTTCTAGTTTTCATTATTCCACTAGATTTCACAAGGAACATCTCTGACAATGGATTTTGTTACAATAGAAGCCAAATTATTTGTATAATATAAATCTGGTTTTTAACTACAAAGTGGTTTAAAACAAGTTTATAATTAGAAATTGATTGTAACTTGTTTATAAATACAAACTAGTTCAAAACTAGTTTGAAACTGAAGTGAAACTGTTTTAACAGTTAATTGATTTTTTATTAAAGTAGTTTTCAAAAAGTGAATTAAGCCATTAATTTGGTTCTGTTCAGTGCAATTCTTGAACCACGAACACCCCTACTCTCCACACACTGTTATTCATTTTTAGTCTATGATGCTTGCATCTAACATATTTAATCAATTTTATCGATATCTAATGTGAAGAGAGAAGAAAGACAAGCAACAAAGATGCCAATGGCTAGAAGTGTCATCAAAGAATGTCTACAAAGATATCCATTCAGCTAAAAGAAAACAACATAAGAAACACATTGTCTGTTATGATTATGATTATTAGATAGTAACTCAGTGCATTGAAAAGTTCAAACATCATTGTCAACAAGATTACAACATTGTCCCATAAATTATCGCACAAACCTACAGCTAGTCACTAGGTTGCAAAACAGTTTCTTTTGGCTCAAGAAGAAGGTGCATTAACAGAGACATAAATGGTAGGAAATAACCTATTGATTTTTCTGTTGTGACTGAAATGGCTTCCTGTCACATGATTTAAGTAGAGAATTCAGCTTATAATCAGCTAGTCATTGGTTTTAACGGTGTAATAACTCTTACAACTGATCGCAATCTAGAATAAGATTTACTCCTATAATTTCATTTAATCAACTAAGTTTCTTAGCAAATCATGATATCATGATTAAAATGTGGCTAATCTATACAGAGTCTCCAAAAACTTGAGACGGTTCCGTTGAGCTCTGATAAAGTGATGCATGAATGTTAAAAAGGACTAGTAAACCTTTCCATTTCATAACAAAACAAACAAAGATTATTACTTTACACTCTTTCCAGAAAGAAACAAGACATGAATCACAATTTCTGTTCCATATTACAATCCAAATTAACAGTAGTAAACATAAAAACTTAGCAATAAAAAAACAAGACAAACATAGATATAAATATAGTGAAACACCCTAATTGAAATTTCCATTCAGATAGTAACCGATCACCTAAATTAGGTTGAATTTCAATTTCAATAAAGCATCAGAAAATTTACACTACCAACCATGAACAACTCTGTTGCACCTATCTTTAATCCATTTAAAACTCTTCCTAATGGAGCCTTTGAGTTTACCTTCAACGGAATAAACTTTATAACTAGCAACTCTTTTTTTCCTCTGCATCTCAGGATCACTAAAGCTCCAGCTTTTCGAAGCCGAACCGTTCGTCGATTTTCCTTTCTTGAACTTACCCTCGTTGCTAATACTCATCTGGTTCTGTGTCTGTGCTGGATGAACAGAGGAAGCATAAGAAGCACTGTAACAACGCAGATCTTGCATACCGTAAACACCGGTAGCAGAAGCCGCTGCTGCTTCTGAGTAGGGTTCAATTTGCATCCTTCCATCACCGTACGATTTGGATCTGAAATCTTCCATGGTGAAACTGAAACCCTAATTTGAGATTATTCAATTCTAACCTTTTTTGATCAATTTCTCTACTGGTTTGTTTACTTTGACACTGAGAGTCTCTCTGGGGCGCTGACTACTATGCTTTTTCCGTCGGTGCATTCCATTATTAATTCTAATCAACTATTTTCATGCTATACTTTTGATTAAAATAATACTAATCTTATTTTTATATTTTATATGTCTTAATTGTTTTTAATTAAATTAAGCAAAATTACAAACAATCTAAAAATATTTATTTCAGAGAATTAAATGTATAACTTTGAATATGTTTTTTTATATATGTTAAGTTTTTCAAATTTATTCTAAACATTACAGCTGTCTTAAATTAAAAGAGTGAAGATATCTTAAATTGATTTATATATATACTAATGCATAATTTATGTTATGCTTATTAAACTTTTTTTTGGTTAAATAGTTTAATGATCAGAATTTTCAATATTAAAAATAAACAGGGAGAAAGTTGTGAGTTCCAACCGCACTATTATGTTTGATATGTTTATAAAATATAAATTAAGTTGATTTAACGGAATATTATACTTTAATTAAATAAAAAATTAAGAATTTTTTAGAATTGTATTATATATTTTGTATCAAATTATAAATCTAGTGTAATAATAAGGTAGCAAGGGTATGACATATACTTCTTAAGGTTTTGTTTTTGTGGGGATTTTTTTTTGGTAATAAAGTGATGAGTCAAAATACAATCAACGCATTAAGACCTCTTATTAATTTGTATAAGGAGAAACTTAGAGGTTGATCGATCTATTGTCAAGTATGGTGGTTCTTGGATGATATTCAATCACTATTTAACAGTGCAATATTGAACTACAGAGTTTGCTTCCCCTACTACAAATATAGATAAAACTATGATTTAGATTCGTTTCCCGGGTCTCAGTCTGTTTTATTATGATGAGAGTATATTGTTAGCCTTAGCAGTTGCAGTTGATACATCTAATAAGGTCGATAATAATACGTCGAATATTCGAAGAGGAAGATTCGCCTGCGTATGTGTTCAAATTGATCTCAATAGACTGGTTGTGACTAAAGTTTGGATGGGAAATTTTTGTTATCAAATTGAATATGAAGGACTCCGCTGTATATGCTCTATATGCGATTGTTATGGACATCTCACAAGACAGTGCACCATCAACTCTATGTCGGAGAAAAATGAACAAACAATTAACATAGCAGAGACGATACTAATTATTGTTGTTGATTTGTTTATTGCACCAATTACGAGATTTACTACTAAAATTGTGGGTACAAATATTACAAATATTAACCAAGATAAGGGAGAAGATCATGGAGATTGGTTAGTAGTTAAGAGAAAAAATAGAAAACCTTTCAACAATAAAGCTATTAATATGGGTAAAGATATTAATGTCAAATATTTTATTTTTTTCACCACATGTATAGTCCGGTTCAGGGGTCAGTTCTGGCATCAAGTGGTTCCTGCCCCCTCCCGACGTGGTTGCGAGAGATCGAACCATGATCCTCCCTATCAAGTCCAACACCAATCACCTATGGACCAATTAACGTTTGGTTATCAAATCTTCTATTTTAGTGAAGGAATATCATGCTAAAAATCGACACACGACAAAGAAAAATAAAAGTTAATTAAAGTTATTTATTTGGATCGTAAAAAATAAAATCAAGGAAGCCACGTAAACTTGATGTGGGACCTATTATTTCTATCCAACCCAACGATCCAAATATACTCCCATAAAAGGCATCAAACTTGTGAAGCTAATTTTCAGCCTAATGCACAACACACCAACCAAGACAATATGCACACGAGAATAATTCTAATTCATATGAGAATGGTTTTGGAATTAAATCAACAATACTTAATTATGAGGCTATATCACCAAATCACATTGTTATGTTTGAATAATTAGGAGACATGAATAAACTAACCAATGATCATGTGCAAGATGTCACGCCCGATAATTTAATTAATTATTTAATTAAATTATTTTCGAATTATTTGTTGATGTGGTTCTGACTCTATAATGGGAATCATGATGAATATTATATAGGAATTGGGTTGGTGTAATATTGTTGTGCGTATGTTGTTGTTGCTGAAATTGCATGTTATCATGTTGTAGATGTTCCTGAATTGTTTGCAAAATTAACTATATGTTATTGGAAATCATAATATTGCTGATATAGTCGTTATGTTGCTATGTCGATGTAATATTGCGTTGTATCATGTTGTTATGAAAATACTGTTAATCGAAGGAAGATTTGGAGAATTCTGTGGTGGAATCAGTAAGTTTGTGAAGAAGCTGCGTGAGAAACACTCTGTGTCGGGGGGCACAAGTATTGTGCCGGATGGCACAAGGTGAAGGAGCGTGCCGAGGGGCACACGAGCATGCCAGTCGACATGATATGGAGAGGAGTCTGTCGAGTGACACAACTCCATGACGAGCAGCACAACCTTTTAGTTTTGATACCGAGGGGACAGTTGGGTGACAAGGGGCACACCCATAAACCTCTATTTTCCTTTGTTTGTTTTGTCTGTTTCCTGTGTCTGTTACCTTATTAATTGGTTATTATTTGTTATCACAGAGTTAAGGAATTATAGGTAGCAGAGATTAAGTAATTAATACTTCTTATGGTCTTAGCATGTTAATCCATAGAAGAATAATTAAATAACTACAAACTATATATATATATATATATATATATATATATATATATATATATATATATATATATATATATATATATATATATATATATATATATATATATATATATATATATATATATATATATATATATATATATATATATTAAATATTAAATTAGTTACAGAATTGTTATGTAGCAGAGTTAGCAAAAATAAATGATAGCAGAGACTATTTGTTAGTTACCGAAGTAAACAAGTTATAGCTTAGCATATGTAGCAGGTAGGATTAATAGATGACAAAGTCAAAATTCTTAGCAGGGACAATTATTAAGTTGCTGTGATGATGTTGTTGTTAATTGCGAAATTGCAGGTAGTGATGAATTTTATTGTGTTGTCTGTATTGATTGACTAAAACCAAGTTGTAGGCCATTAAAAATAAAACAATAACAAAGATAATTCATGGTAGTAGGAGATAATTCATAGTAGTAAGATGTAATTGCAGGAACCTTATCGGAAAACTATTAGCAGTATAATAGCATAGTACATGTAGCAGGAATAAGTTGACAGTAGGAATTAATGGTGAAATAGTAATAGGAAGCTATTAGCAATAAAACAACAGTAGATAATTAATTAGTAGCACTAGCAGTAGTAGAAATTGTTTATAATAGTATCAGCTTATATAATAGTTGCAGCAAGTTAATATTAGAGGAACCATCACAGGACGTCTAATAGCCGAATATAGACGTATAGCTGAGTAGTTATGTAGTGTTATTACAATGGGTTTCAATTGTATTTGTGAATTATGTTGTTATAATGTCGTTATTGTTGATGATGCAAAGTTGCAGGATATACCGATGTTGTTGAAATGCCTCAAATTATTGGCAGATATTAAGTTGTAGGCTTATGGCCAACGTTTATTTATGTTGAGTTGATGTTGAATTATTGTTGATGTTATAGGCTTATGGCCAACGTTGATTTATGTTGAGTTGTTGTTTGTTGTTGTTGTTGCTACATTCATGTTGTGTCGCATACATCTCATATCAAGTTGGAGCTGATGCTCGTTAAGTTGGCCTGGATTGGCAAAATATTAAGTTGAAAGCTTATTCCTTGTTGATGCGTCTATTAATTCACAAATTATTAAGTTGGGAGTTTTTCTCCATTGGTACCACATGCATGTTATAGGCTTATGTCCTTGTTATAAGTTGAAAGTTTAGCATCCTACTTATATGTCGAAATTTTATAACTCTGATTTTAATAATATTTTCTGGGTAGAAATAGGGTGTTACATTAGTGGTATCAGAGCAGGTAGGTCCGACCAAGTTTTTGAGTCTGTAGAGTAGTGTGACAGTTGAATATTGTCGATGTGTTGTTTCTTAGTACGTGATATGTGTGCGACACAATGTCAGAACTTGTTTTCTTTTCCAATCGGTTGTATGCAGGAGTTGGTTTAAAGATAAGTGGGGGGAGAAGCTTTACTTCTCGGATATATTTCTGTTGAAAGATGTTGGTCCGATATGGCGACAGTGCAAGTATTGTTGAAGTTTCGTTGGTTCCCAAATTCGAAGGTGACATGGTTTCAAGATTTTGTTTGTTAATCAAGTTGGAGCGTCTTGAGGGAGGATGATCAGACATTGTTGATGTTTACTTCTCGAAGGATGAGGATCAATGTGATGGTTGTTGATATACGAGTAGAGTGTATATCCCTGATGTTTTTAAAGGTGATTGTTAAGTAACATGGATAATTTTTAGAAGATGTAATTTAGAAAGCTGCGGTGTTTCAGCGCTGCTGGTGGACTGTGAAGTTGTCGACTTGAGTAGCTCTTGCATAAGATGTCGATGTTTGAATGGTGATAGAATGGCAGATTGTTGTAGACCTTGTTGTGGCATCCTTATGAGTGATTGTAAAAGTTGTTGATGTTGTTGGAATGTTTTGAATTGCGAGTCACAGTCGGAAATGTGAGGAGATGATTATGATTTCAAGAATGGTAAGTGTGGGTACTGGTATAAAGAAATTTTATTCTGATGTTATTGTAAGGTGTGTAATAGTATGTCGTTGCATGACGTCGGTGTTCACATTTTTGGATAACTTTAAAAATTCATATCTTGTGTTTCGAGTATCGGATTGGTGTTCTGTTTGAACCTGTGAGGAGATAGAAATATATTATATCCTATGAAAGTGTTTTTGAATACGGTAGATGCATTCCTATATGGAGGGACTCTGAAGTCGGTTACAGAACTAGAGGCTTTTTGGGCATAAATGATTATTATCGCAGTTGTTTGAGACGAGGTCAAGCGTATTATATTATTGGCGAGTAAGTTGAGAAATGAGATG